TACCCATTAGCTTATCTGTGATGGGACCAAAAACTGAAATACAATGTAGTCCTGAAAATATGTGATAACGGATCTTCAAGCTTCTTTTCCTTACGGCAAGATAAAGTTACTAAAAAATAAATCTAGGCTGCTAAGTTTAAATGAGGCATATGTTAACTTTAAGAATACTTTTCCATTTCTTTCTCGTAAACACCAACAAGAATTATTCTCAAAAGCATCAACCCATGAACTAAGGCCATCTTTCTAGCTGCAGCTATCGCAACAACCAAGTTCACTAGGCTTGCTACAAACAGGTTTTTCCTGAAAGCTGTGGAACAATGTGTTGACCGTACTCCATGGCTTCTGTGAGGACAACAAAAAATAATTTTAAAAAAAACCCCTCTACCCTGCCCAACTTTTGATTTCATCAGAAAGGCAATTAAACTTAGTTGAAAGGCTTTCTACAAAAAGGCATAAAATTGTATCCCAAAGTTTTGCCAGTTTCTCAGTTCTGCTGGAGCCCAAACAATCCAACCCATACGTTACAGTTTAAAAATTAATTTTCCTTCTTCTAATAGAAAGAAATAGAAAGTAAAAGAAAATGTTTCCTATACAAAGATCCCTCCCAGGATGCTATGAAGAAACCAAAACTGTAATGAGGTTGCACTTAGACAACTGTAATAATTCACCATGACTTTCAGAAGTGAAGCAATGTAGTAACTTTCTGTTTTCAAATATAAGATGCCATATATAATTTTAAGGATCAATAAACTGACAACACAAGCAGAGTTATTAAGGTGACATGAATTACTTGCCTGGTTAAGACAACTGAACAAACCCACGGTGACTGTGTATCAAGAGCAAATGGGGGGCTCTAACTCCCAAAATGTCTCCCTATCAAGTTTTAGGATGGCCTTTGGGAAAGATTTTGTGCCCCCTTGACCTTTTTTATTAATTAATTAATTAATTATTGCCTACTTCCCGGTATTTAGCTAATGGAGGTGTGAGTGTAACTGCGCTGAAGATAAGGGAGTATCAGAATATAAACTATACAATTCTCCTTTACTTTCCTGTAAGGACAGAAGATCTAGGCACCTCTCCAAAGAAGTGCTGTATTCAAGTATAATTATTGGCAAGTGCCCTGATACATTATTTGGTTTGGACACTGGAATTCCAGGATGTGTCTGGCAGGACATGGAAGATTTTTTTTTTTCTCCTCCTTAACGTAAAGGTCAAATCATGCCTTTAATCACATGAATATGGACCTTGCTTCTTCACTTTAAAATTGGGACAATAAAAACAAACCTCATAGGATTGAGAAATCCTATGCCACTGCCTGGTACATAGAATATGTACTAAAAGTAAGCAAAGAATTTTGACTTGAATATTATCTAAGTTTAACATTTTACAGTTGCTAAGTATGTGCTATTCTTTTCCACATTCAAAACTTTAACTATAATCATGGTTTGATTAGCATGTATCAATCATTCAAACTATAAAATTTTCCCTCTTACTTACTTCTAGAAGGCATTCTCCCCCAACACCTATATTATGTTTATGTGAAGAAGCACTGTAGTATATTGGTTAAAAGCCAAATCTTGTGTCTGAATACTAATAATAATTTCTACCTCATAGGATTGTTGAATGAATTAAATGAGTTAATCTATGTAAAAACTGAATATCATAACTATGTTAGCTATTATTATGTTAATTATATAATATATATAATTATATTATGTATATTAATTTGGTATCTGAAAACAGGATTTGAAGCAGGTCATTTGAGTTCATATAATTAAAGCTTTAAACTAAGCAAAAACAAAAAACTAGAAAAAGATCTTATTTTTTATAATACAAAAAAATTCCCAAAATATAATGCTTTGCCATACCAGTTATTTAGGGGATTATTCACATATTTGAAATCTCAGTTCTTGCTCCACAAACATGGATCAAAGAGAATGTTAAGACTGGACAAAAAACTAACTGAAGATGTTATCCTTAATTTTAACTCACTGTACGTACCCAAACCTGCATGAAACAAATGTGAAAAACATTCTGATTTATTTCAAAATAAACGTTGCCTGGTATTAGTTACCTATCAGGTAAAGTCTTTCCTTTCAATGTCACAATGCCACGCTGGCCTCTGATTGAACAGGAACATTAGAACGCAGCCATGTCAGCTGGACCCTGTAATTTCTGTGGTGCATTTCCAGATCTCTCTACAACCCCTGGGGAATTCTTGATAATAGCCATTGAAACGGAATTATGAATATCTGTAAAATTTCTTTCCCAAAATTAATAGTGCTTAGGGTAATAAATTTAAGTAAGACGGCTGCGGTTAGGAAAGACTGTGGTTGTGGCTGCAGCAATTTCAATTTCACAGTTGCTCACTTCAGGATCATAGGGAACTTAGGCACCACCTCCATCATCCCCCATATTTTCTGGAGAAACCAAGGTCCCCAAATGCAATGATATTGATAGGGCCAAGACCATAACCTAGGTCTCCAGGCTCCCAGTCAAATAAATGTTCCTTTGAGTTTTTCATATCAAATTTAACCAAGTAATCCATACCAACCCAAAATGGCATTTTTTCTTTTTTGCCAAAAACCAATTCAAAAGAGTAATTGTTAAAACACACACACACACACACACACACACATTCATTTAATAAGCACTACAGTAGCCAGTTTACTAACTTCTTGTGATTTTCTTTAAACCCAATTAGGATTTTTTCAAATCACATATTTCTATTGTGTCTTTCAAATCACCACCACACTTGCTCTTGGCTCCCCGACCCCCACTCCCTTTCCTAAAAATGGTGAGGACAGTGAGCAGAAATCAACAATTTACTTTCTAATCCTACCATATTTGAGCCAGGTATATTGACTCATCCTTTGTCCATCCTCAGCACAACAGGCAACAATTTTAAGGGAAGAGTTTCTAACAGTATTTTTTATTATCAATCTTATTCTATTTTATTATTATTTCATAAACCAGCTAAACCTCCAACTGAACCAAAAGATTACATATATTAAACACATTCCATTAGCCCCCCAAAGTACTACTACTACTAATAATGTGCATATATATAGCTTATTCATTTTCTGAATTTTTTATTTTTCCCAAAGCAAATCTGTATCAAAAGTCAGTAAACTGAGAACGGAAAATAAAGCATGAGGTTACATACTTTCATTCCGTCAGTGTATAGCCACAAAATAAAGTGTATCCATTCTGAGCCAATCTTAATCTAGTGGAAATGTATAGAATGCCAGCTTAGATTTAAAAATTAGCAACATATGTATAATTCATTAAAGTCACCTTTGCACTAAATTTTCTTTAAATTATGTTTAAAAGAATATGAAAAGCAACTTTTTAAAAACAGACTTCATGAAATTGCCAGCATCCAAAAGAGCCGTTTTTTACCTAACCACTAACGCAAGATAACTGTTCTTCAGTTTGAGTGAAAAACCCTTTAGAAAAGCAAAAGTCAACAGTTTTTTGATACTTAGGCAAAAAAATATGTTTAAAACTCTAAAGTAATCTTAATCGAATATTTTAAGATACATCCTGTTACACCTGAATCCTTCATGGAAGGGACATTTAATTCCTTGGAATGACAGGATTCTCCTAGCAAACTTCCCCTCCCACCAAGCAAATTATTAATCAAAACAGATAATTCTGCTTGTGCTGACATCATATTTGGGGACATTGCAACTATTTTGTAATCTATTTTAGCCCTTGTAGAAGCATTTCTAAAATAACTCTCTGTGGTGTGTGCGTGTGTACACGCACACACGCACACAATGTACATACACACATATATGTACATACACAGGTATACAGACATGTATTTTAATCCTTGCTTGTTTAACCTAGAATTTGTACTCTCATCAGCTGTGTGCTTTGGGGCAAGTTATATCTTTCTGATAGTTAAGTTTTTCATCTGCAAAATGGGGACAACAATAGAACTTACCTTGTGGGGGTCACTGAGAGGACTGATTCAATGTTATTGGATTATTAGCCCATATAAATTTCCTAAACACATATAAACAATCATACCCCCAAAGCGTATGAACTTGTTGGGGCATCTGAGGCTCGATTAACTATGAAATTCCCTCTATGTCCTATCTGTCAACCGGACTGGCTGCTCGTTAATTCAAAAACATCAAACAATGTGACTCGTACAGAGTAAGGATACACTGGTGACAAGAAGACAAGTGATCTTTGCCTGGATCTATTTTTAGGAATGGTTTATCTACACCCCTAGTGTTAACGCTGGAAAATAAACAAATGGCTGAAAGGCAGCATAAAAGAACGTCCCCAAGATCAACAGTTTCGTGGTATTTTAAAATAAATGGGGATGAAGAAAACATTTAGATCATTTCTGTACCAGTCCTTATTGAGCAGGGCAGGCCGGAATTGGCAAAGAGGTTTAGGAGGAATTGCTGAATTGATGAATTCAGACTGTTCACACTGCAAGGTTCAGAGAGGTTCCAGGTTGCAAATGTAACCAGGGACAAAACTGCAATTCAATAGTTGGTTTTCCCTGAATCACTACCCTACAGTGAAAGGGGAAAAAATGAATTTTTTCGTCATATAGTTACTTCATCTGGGCAGAAAACAATCATCAGTTTCCACAATGAAATATACTTGTATCCATACATTATTTATTCCCACCTAAAAAAGTAGGGAAAAACCGACCGTGATGATCTTGTCCGGCTGGAAAGGTGTTACAGTTAATAATTATGACATCATCAGCTATCTGGCATTCATATTCTGCCAATTCATACTATTATCCATGGGGAAGATTACAATTAGAAAATTTCTCAAGAAACCGTGGGATATTTTGTTCCAAATTATACTCCTGTCCTTGCCAAAACAACGTCTGGTAATTAACTCGTTTTCTCAGAAGAGCTCTGATATGCACATGAACAATTCCAACTCTCTTAGTTAAACAGATATTACACTGTGCAATTTCCTTATTCATCTTAATCTATTAATGGAACATAATCTTACCGGAAAAGGAAAAATGTTGTCAGCCCTGTTCAAGCTATCTTCCATCCAGGATTTAGGAGCAAAGGCAGAGCTGGGGCGAGCTTACTTCTGCAGCTGAATATGATTGCTTGCAAAATTCTTCTTCAAAGGCGAGATGGAGTTCAGGGGCGTTATCCCTCCGTTCAGCCCTCTGCGGTGGTCTCGGCCTTGGGAGCCTCCCCAGCCCCCGTATCCACCACCTCCGGGGCTCCATGAGGAAGATGGTGTGGGAGAGGGGCTCTGGTAGCTGCTCCATGGAGAGGGGGGTTTGTTAAGATTATTGGCCAAATGAGGCAGCTGGTTAAAAGCAGCGTTTCTATGTGTGAAAGGCGGGGGGTGGGGACTGGCCGGGGACCTCCTCTGCTGCTGATGCTGGCTGTGATGATGCTGAAAGTGAGGGTGGTGAGGGTGGTGCTGTGACAGAGGCCCGATCTGCGGGGAAAAGCTGCCTCCAAAGCCGGGGCTGACGTGGTGGGGGAAATTTTGGAACAACAGAGCACCGTTGTTGGCCGAGGCGGCCGGGACCCCTCCCTGGTGAAAGAAGCTCGCGTCCTCGTTGATGATTGTGGAGGAGGAAGGTGCTATCGCTGCTGACCAGTTGCTGAAACCAGTAAGAGACGATGCACTGGACGTCAAGGGCTGGCTGGAAGCACCGAGCCCCGTGGCTTCTTGGTAATCAAACCCTGTCAACACTGGCGACTCAATTCTTATTTTCTCCTTCCCGTTGCTGTTTTCTGAAGAAGTGTCCCCTGGACTCTCTTCGGATTTTGTCTTCTCGGTTTCGGGCAGGATGCCAGCCTCCTGGCCGGGGCTGGGGGAGAGCTGCTGCTTTTCCAAAGGGTCCTGCTGTTCCTGTTGCTGACTTTTTGCTTTCTCTGACCCCAGGATCTCATCCTGGATGTTATGGGTGGCCGGGGCGGGAAAGAGCCATGCTGACCCGGCACTGCTGCCGTTGGCAGCCGTGTTATTATTTATAAAAGCAGCAGGGCTGGGGGTGGCATTCTGGTGGTGGTGCGGCGGCTGCAGATGCGGGTGGAACCGGACCGGAAAAGCAGATTTGTTCCCAGTATTGCTTTGCACTAGCACTCCAAACCCGTAATCCCCCATTTATTATTCTTGGGGTCAGAATCTTACGATTAAAAAAAAAAAAGAAAAAAAAAGGACCAACCGGGTGTCTCTCGTCTCTGTGTCCTCCACCCCAAATCTAAGTGGCCTGTTCGAAATGTCTTATTTCATAGATAGCTATATAGCTCAAAGGTCGCAGCTTTATCGCTTGAAATAGTTCTGATTTGGAATTCTGGGCTCTGAAAGAGGACAAAAACTAAAAACTAAAAAAAAAAAAAAAAAAAAAAGACTCTTAAAACATCGACATGAATCCAACCGGGCTTATTATGTCTAGGAGGGAAGAAGAACAACGAAGAGGGCAAAAATCAAGTCTTTGGTTAGTAAAATAGGCGCTTTCTTTTTCCAAAGGAAAATGTCCATGAAATGACAAAAACACAGCTTCTCAAGCATCTATGGGTGTAGAAGAATAAGCCTTGCGCGGAGTAAAAATATATATATGCATATATATATATATAATTTAACAATCACATAGGGTCTTCCTCAGCAGTTTGGACTCGCTCACATAAAAATTAGAATAGGGCTAAGAGGAGAAGGGGTTCCTTCCTTGGCAGCTTGGTTAAAAAAAAAATCAGGAATAATTTAAGAACATTATATATTATATATTTATATATATAGATTATATTAGGTTATCTGGGGTGGGAGGTGAGTTCCTGGTTGCGGGAGAGGGAGTCGGCACTGACTAATGGAAAGATGATTGCGGGGGGTGGGGGTGGGGGGTCTCTGCTGTTCCTGGTCCGGTTTCTGCTCTTTCACTGGGTGCAGGGCCGGCCCCTGGGGCTGTTCCTGAGGCTTCGGGTGCAGATCTTGCTGCGGTCGCTGGTCCTGGGCTCCCCCCGCGGCCTCCTCTCCCCCATGAAATGGGTTGGAAACACCCGTTTCTCCCTCTTGGGGGGATCGCGATCAGCAAGGATTAGCGAGACTCGACGAGAGGGAGCTGGCGGCCCGGGGGCGCGGGGACCAACGGGGCGACCTGGAAGGTCCTGCGGTTGCGGCCTCTTCCCCTCTCTGCGGCTCCGGGGTTTTTTTCCCTCATGGGACCCAGGGGCGGTTTGTTCAGTTCTCTCAGTTCGATTCTCCGCAGGAGGGGGGGAGGGGTAAAAAAAGAGGGAAAAAAAAGGGAAAACCCACTAGTGTAGTTATTCTAAAAGAGAAGGGCCTCCCCCCCTTTGTGCTCTCTCTCTTTTTACCCTCGGATTTTTAAAAAAATCTATAATTTAGAAGGCTTTTGTTTCTCCTCACGGTTGCTGGGCCGTCGTCGCCGCCGCCGCCGCCGTCGCTTTGCCCGGTCCCGCAGTCCCCGCTGTCGTTGTTGCGGACTCCGCCTGGCTCTTCTTTTTCTCTCCTTCTTCCTCCTCTTCCTCCTCTACTGTCGTCGATGCCGCCGCCGCCGCCGCCGCCGCCACCGCCTCCCGGTGTCCGGGTCCCGCAGCCGCGGCTGAGTCCTTTTCCTCAGGACCGAGCCGAGTGAAATGACAACCAGCTGGAAAGACCGAGAGACACTTCCGGTTCGAAAAGGGAGGGGTGGGGTGCCGGGGGCACCCCGCCCACCTGTCGAAATACCAATCAGCTGTTGGGATTGAGATGAGGCCACGCCCCCCGGCGCAGGTGCCCTCCCAGGAAGGTCGAAAACTTACCATGAGAGACGCCCCTTCCGTCTGCGCCTCGCCCAGTGAGGCCTGGCGCCTGGAACTCGCTCCCCCACCCACAGTGAGCGCGGCAGGTTGCCATCTTTAGTGTGGGCACAGGACTCCTTCGCTGTTTATCTCCGCTCACCCTCTTTGCAGGAGTTGCCTGTAGGGACGCACGGAACAGAACGGATCCCTCGAGCACTACGAAAAAGGGTCAGGGTCTTGGGGATCCGAGTGGCGACGCCTAAAATCAAGGATGAACGGGAGGCCTGCCCTCAGTAAAGGTGGGTCCCCAGGCATCACGTGCTTTGGTCCGAGCTCCGCCCCGGAGGGATCTGGAAGGGGAGGCGGGTCTCCCTAGCCGCTGTGCCGATCCTGCAACTGCGTACGTCCTTGTCCTGCCTGTTGACCTCACGCGGGACTCTCCCTTCACCTTCCATTCCTCCACCGCCACCCCCAGCTTGGCTTAGTTGGGAGGCTTGATACAGTCTCTCAGGCACAAAGCTACAGCTGCTGTAAGCGTTTGTGACTGAGCCCTCTTCTCCATCCTGTTCTAGTCCACTCTATGCACTGTACCAGAGGGACATTTCCAACACGAAAATCTTACGGTGTTCCTCGTCTGTGAAGAGGGCCAAACTCCTTCGTCCGGTATTCAAGACCTTTCCACTCTGGACAGTCGTATCTTAACACCTCATCTCCAAACAAATGCCCCACACCAAGCGGCTCCAAACACACTCTCAATGCCTTTTCGTGTGCCCTTTCCTTTTTTCTCCACGTGGTAAACTGCTGTTCTGTTTTAGGAATCAGTTCAAAAGCTTCCAACTCTGCCACTGTGGGCTCATTGAGGAGAGGACCTTGTGGATAGGAGACATTGGTGAATGAATGCTGAAGAAATGAATTAACAAACCAACTACAGTGGAGTCTATCTCGAGTGACAGTCCCCTTACCAAGTCTGAATCACTTCATTTCTTCTGCTGTTTGGTTTGGAGTTCACATCTCTCAAATGTTTATCATTTAGCTTATTCATTAGCTGCTCCAGGGTGTCTCTTGTTTATCTTTGTACATTCCCACTTGGGACCACCATCAGGGATGAGGGTAATGCCCCGCTCTAAAGATGGTGAATAAGTGTTTCCCTTTAGTAGGAAATGAGAAATGAAGAGAAGAAATCACAGTAGAGGCAGAGTAGGGGCAAAAAAAAAAAAATAGAGCAGTCCAAAACCTTTAAGAAGAATCTCATCAACAAAGGTGGCTTTCATTTCATTCCTATTAGCCTTCCCTGAATGGTCCTAGCTTCTTCTGCCTCAGTTTCTCAATCCTCCAACATTTCCACATAGAACACCTGTTTAGGGCCTGAAGCAGTGATTTATATTCTCTTTCCTCATATCATGACCATGAGTCTTAGCTCTGTAATTCTATTTGGAGTTCTTTGAGCATAGAGATTGGGTGGGTCTTAGTCTGCTGTTTGTTCCCCACAACTGGACATACCTTGAGACTTGCTGGTTCAGTTCCACCAGAATGTCCAAGGTGTCCTTTCCTCCAGAATTGTTGCCCTGACTGCCCCTCTCTCTAACATCTTGTAGATTCCCCTCTTTAGATTACTGCTAGTTGTCAGTGGGTTCATTTCTTAAGGCCAAAGGTTTTATCTGATTATCTTTGTGTCCCTAGTGGCCAGCATAGGGCCGGGCACAGAGCAGACTCAGCATATGTTTGTTAAGTGAATGAATGAACATTCAGTACCCCGTAGATAGTGGAGTCTTTTGGAGCTGCCAATTCTCAGTGGCTAAAATGGCAGCCATGACCTAGAGGAGAAAGAACAGTCTTTGGAGCCCAACAGTGTAATTTGAATCCCACCTCTACTACTACTTCCTAGTTGTACAGCCCTGGGCTTTACCTCTATGAGCCCTTACTTCCTTATAGATAAAATGTGAATGATGTTTTCTTCTCTCACTAGGTTCATAAATTGCATGAGCTACATGTGAAGTGCTGGGCTGAGGTTTTTAAAAATATCAGTTCCTTATTAGCATATTAAGTGCAGAGAACTTGTACTTCACGAGTCTTTTGCCTGTAAGCACCTGTGTGCATGACTGAATCCAGAAACCTGTGTTGCTTAACCGGGGTGGTGTTGAGGTGGGGGGGGAGGCATACCCAAGCCACAGCCAGCGTGAGTGCTGCTAGATCAGCCTGATCTTTTAAGACTAAATCAAGTATGGGCAGTAGGTTTGGGCTAGACTGAAGCCAATAATCACTACAGACATCAGGCTCCTGGTTAGGGAGTAGAAGCTCGGGAGAAGGAAGAGGGAAACGATTCTCTCAGGTCATTTGTCTACTCAGAAACCCAGGATTCCCACCTCAGGGCTGCCCTCCTTAAAAACATTCTGGCTTCAGAAACTGGCCTAGGTAACCATGACAACAATGCAGCAGTTCCATTTAGGATCTCCAAAGGGATCCACAGTTGTAGTTGAGTGCTGGCTTGAACGCCGTGCTGGCAGAAGAGAGCCCCTCCATGAAGTGTGCTCCCTGGGAACCTTTCCATTTGCAGAGAAAGCAAGCTCTGCACAAACATTAAGGTGCTACCAGATAAAAACAAACAAAACAAAACAAATAAACCTCCCTCCCTGTCCAGCAAGGGGTGGACACACCTTCAGAGAACTTGTAGAGTAGTGAATGCATGTACCTTGCTGGCTATTGCCCAGCCCCCTCTAGGGTTTGAGATCAACCACACCCCAAACCCAAGCCTCCCAGGAAGCATGGCCCTAATATCTCCTTCACCAGCCTCTTACAAAGCTTGGCAGGTGATATAAATCTCACCCTATAATCACACAGAGTGAACTCTGCTCCACTCCAATTCTGATGTCCTCCACCGCTGCCCTTGAAGCATTTGTCTGCCTTCCCAACAGCACACACCCTACTCCCCAGGGGCCTGTCTGGTGACTTTAGTAACCAGAGCCACCACCCAAGGCCGCTCATGTTGTGCACTGTGCAATTCCATAAGGCACCACAGATTATTATAGGAATGCCACCCCCTGGAGTTGTATAATATGGCAGCCCTGCTTCAGTTCATCTGAGTAAAACGCAGAGGCACCTTATGAAAAGATGACACCCATCCAAAAAGTGACTAGATACTACTGTAAATTATATGAGCACATTCTCATTGCATGCGGAAACATTTAAAGCAGTTGATTCATTTAGAGTTTAGAGTTGGTGGCCCACGAGCTTTCTGTGATGGAATTGAAGGACACGGTGTCCTTGATGTTGTTGAATAGTGAGCTGTAGTGAGAAGACAAGTCTGGGCAGGTTCATGGTCCCGTCCCCTAAGAGATTAATACCCAGCTACTTTGCCAAACTTTGTTAATAAGCCTTCTAATGTAGTGGTGGAATATATATTTTACTGGAACTAAAAATATATAACAATAGTATTCAAAGGCAGGTCCTGTGAAGGTAGAGGAAGAGAGAAGGGTGGAATTACTTTTGAAATATTTTCTTTTCCAAAAGTATCTGGAAGCTTACTCCCAGAAGGCAAGCTAGACAGAAACGAAACCAAATCCTGAAAGTAGGTTTTATCAAACCTCACCTCTGATCTCCTCCCTGTTTTGATATTGAAAAGTGTACATGTTTACTTTAAAACAAAAACAGTTTTGTTTTGTTTTACAGTTTATGGCTGGGTTATATTTTCCCTTTTTGCTTGTTGTTTCATAATCTGCACAAACCCTCTGCATCTTAAACAGCATTTCCCTCCTGCTTTTTCATTGCAGGTGTTATCATTAACATAGAGCCCACGGTTAACAAGCCATTTTGGTGTGGGTGGTGAAGCCAGTGCCTCCAATGCGCTGCTCCTGAATAGATGGCTTGGAAAGGTCCAGGACACAGACATGCTCCACTTGAAACTGCCTTATCCTGGCAAAGATTTAGGTGAGTGGGAACAGGGGGTTGACCTTCCAAACTGTGACATGCATCACATGGGATGACTTGGATTCTTTTGTGGCCTCGGCCACCTATGTGGATGGACTGCTGACCTCGTCTCCCCCATGCTGTTTTGATTGGACACACTTCACTTCCCTGCACCAAACCCTGGCCAACAGCTGCTGTCTCATACCCTGTGGATTTTCACCTGGAAGACCAGAAAAAGAATAGCTTTTTAGAGCTTGCGGAAGGTGCAGGGCCCAGAGGTCAGACCAAAAATCTAGCCCCAATGTAGCCGTAAACTCATAGACACTGGTTCAGCTCGATGAGTTCCTTTCAGCTGGAATTTTTACTACCAAAAGAGTTGCACTTTGGAACCCTTAACCAATAAAGGTTCAAAGAAAGGCATTATAAAAAAAATTACTAAAGATGCTCCTTTTCTTTTCTATCCCAATTTCCTGGTCCCCTATTCCTGGAGTACATATATTCCTAAAGGACAGTCATGAGTTGATTCATAAGCATCCAACGTCACACTTTAGTGTGCGCTGGTCCGCTTGGCAGCCCATCAAATGCAGATTTCCAGGCCCTGTTCCCCCCCACCCCAGGATATTCTGACTAAATTTTCTCATACTATTTTCTCATAAACTTTAAAGTACAAGAGATTTTCTCAAAATAATGTAAGCGCACAGAAAAACAAAATAACAATGGCTGAAATGAAAAAAGTTTCTTTCTCACATAAAAGAGGTTTGAGGAAGTCAGCTGGTGGGGTGGTTTCAAGAAGTCATCAGAAGCTGGGTTCCTTCTATCCCATTCCTTCCCTCCCTAAAATGTAACTTCTGCCTATGATCCAAGATAGTTGCTCAAGCTCCAGCCATCACATCTGTATTTTATTTTATTTTTTTTAATGTTTTTAATGTTTTATTTATTTATGAGAGAGAGAGAGACAGCATGAACAGGGGAGGGTCAGAGAGAAAGGGAGATACAGAATCTGAAACAGGCTCCAGGCTCTGAGCTCACTGTCAGCACAGAGCCCGACACGGGGCTCGAACCCACAGACTGTGAGATCATGACCTGAGCCGAAGTCGGAGGCTTAACCAACTGAGCCACCCAGGCACCCCATCACATCTGTATTTTATACTGAAGGAAGGAGGGAAGAGATGAAGAAGGACATGACCCTCCTCTTTGAGGAAACTTTTCAAAAGACCTACACATCACTTCTGTTTTCCACCTGGCAGGAACTTGGACATATGCTATTTGGGCAAAAGAGGTTGGAAAGTATGGTCTCTATTTTATGTTCATGTGCCTCGTTAGAAAGTGACACTCTATTACCAACGAAGAATCAGGGACGTGAATACTGATAGAAGAGGCACTTTGGCCTAGAGAAGTTTAGTGACTTACCAAAGTCTTGTAGTCAAGTCATTTTGCAGTTGAGGAAACAGGTCCTGGGAAGGGCCGTGTCTAAAATCAGTTATTTCGCCCAAAGAGCTTGACTCAGAACTCCTCCTCCACCCAGTGGTGTCCTCAAATTTAGCATGCTTCT